TTGTATGATCACTACTCATCCCACTTCTTCAGATGGCGTTTTTGACCACAAAGCGTACAATGAGAAAACTCTCTCGAAAATGCTAAAGGCGAAAGCCAAGGCAGATAAGGCGGCTGCTCGAGCGGCTTCGCAGGCTCCTCTAATGGCGGCGTTGTTAATTGCGCCACCTCCCGCTCCGTCACCTACACCCGAAGAACAATCCGCGCCAGAACCCACGGCAATGACTTCAAGTGCACCAAGCAATCTTGCTGTCGATCGCACAGAACTACTGCGTTCAAAACCAGCTGTTGTTGGAAGGTTCATGCAGCTTACAGTACCCATCCTCATCGACGTCTATGCCGCAAGTGTGAATACTCCTGTGAGAGTAAAAACGCTGACGGGCTTGCTCAAAGCTGCGAGCTTTCTAGATCCAGATGGCCTCAAGCAAGTTCTAACGGTATCGAACATCTTTCCTGTTGAAGACAAGTCGCCACTGACCATCTATATTTAGTTTGTACCTGTCGCAGGTTTCGCGTCTTCTATCCTTTCATCTCGCGACCATCCCACATTAGTAATTGGCGCGCTGCAACTCGTAGATCTCCTTTTGTCCAAGGTGCCTTCTTTGTATAAGCCCACCTTCCGCAGAGAAGGAGTCTTTCATGAAATAGAAGCTTTGGAAGCTCGTACGTTGGCCTCTTCAAAGCTGAAAGAAAAAGAAAAGGCAGATAAGGAAAAGGAAAAAGTTTCTTCAGATACAGGAGCCCCTGATGCCACCACTTCAGTCACCACATCGTCTTTATCCTCAGCGCCGATAATCCCTGCGTACAAAAGGATTTCATCTCTCGCGCTTGATCCAGAGGATGCTATCACTCTGCGAGCTCGAATAATGAAGTTCAAGTACTTGTCCGGCGATGATCAAACAGAAAGTGATCATACGCTTCAGTCTTTGAAAACTCTTGTTGACCGCATCAGTCCTCCGAACGCCACTGAACAAGAATTATCCGAAGCATTATGGGATCTTACAACGCTATTCGCCTCTCCCCATACGTCTGTTTCAAGCTTTGAACTGCTACAAAGCGGTCTCGTCGACGGTTTACTCAAACTCGCCACTGATATGGATCGAAAAGGTAATCACTTTGAGAATTTTCTCATAAAAATAGTTTGAGTGTTGAACATACTCCCTACAGTACCCGTCACTCGACGCAAGGAACTTCTTTTAGATTCTTTGGTCAGTCGGAAAAGCAAGACTTTGACGAGCTCGCAGACACCCTTTTCCACATTTGTCAAGAAGTTGCAAGAAAGTTTTACCCGAATGGAAACTTTCGACGTTATAACAATATCTCAAGGATCTGACGGCAAGTCGTTATATATCACTGGCTTGTATCTGGCTCAACTCCTTCCTCAGATTCAAAGCGTAGTTCCCCTTCGTTACTCGCTCGTCAGTTACGCCTCCGCTTGATTGCCGAGGAGGATTCGGGTGTTCCTCGAAATTTACAAAATATAGTCGTATCCATACATGCTATCGCAACGTTCCAAGCGCTCCACGACTATCTCCGTCCAAGAGTAGCAGGTGTGTTTGGTGGCAGTGGCTCGCGATTATCAGGTATGCTGGCTGCTTTGGCAGCCTCAGGATTCCCGGGATCGTCACGGGCTAGTGGGTCTTCCGGAGAACTTGGCAGATCGGAACCTTCCCCGCCAGCATCAGCACTAGTGCCAGAATCATCCTCTACACAGGACAGTAGCTCAAACACGATGACTCGTCGACGTAGTCAACGCCTCAGTGCGAAGAAAACGGGCTCAATTTCAAATGCTACTGACTTGGATGCTCCTTCCACGGATGCGCCAGTTACGGATGTCGATATGCCATCTACCAGCACCACTAATGAGCCTGAAGTACCTCCTCCTACAGCAGCAGCAGAGTCAGCGGCTAGTGAGACCTTGGTCGATTCTGAAATGCAGGCTGATTTCTCGGACGAGGAAGTAGATGCAGAAGTATTTGATGAGGAAGAGGTTGAACCTGATCATTCAATATCGGATAAGACGGTCTCATTATCTGTCGCGGAAGACGGTTCCAAGGTTGAAGCTCAAACTCCAGATGGAACGCGTGTAGCGACACCGAACCCCAATATATCTATGAATCAATTAGCTTCATCATCATCAAAACCTTCTACCTCATCCCGGCCGTCCTACGCCTCTGCCTTGAAAACGAAACCCGTGGACTGGCATCTAGAATTTGCGATGGACGATCATGTTTTACCTTTAGATCTCACGATTTACGGAGCTATTCATCAGCATGAGATGAGGAAAAAGGCGGGTCCTACGCCTCCCAATCTTTTCTGGCAAGGCGTGTACACAATCAAGTTTAAGAAGGTTCCTGGTCCCGCTCCAGCTTCTGATGGTGAGTATTCCATTTTAATAACAGCACCAGAATCAAACTGCTATGATAGCCGGTTCTGAGTCGGGCATCAAGCCGCGTTCCTCAACGCCGCCACTCTCTTCTCTTGCTGAAGATGCACCGCACGCAAAAATACTTCGGTTGCTTCGTGTTCTATATCAGCTGAACACTCTTGAAGCTGAGGGCACGCTGTTCAATGGTGAAAAACGAAACTTGCCGGAGACAGCGTTCGTGAATAACAAGCTGAGCGCGAAACTCACTCGCCAATTGGAAGAGACGATGATTGTTGCTAGGTTTGTACTTTCAATGCAAATGAAAGGCTGGCTGCTTACATGAATATTTTCATCTCCTCAAGCTCCTGCCTGCCTGACTGGGCTCTTGATCTCCCTCAACATTTCCCCTTCCTCTTCCCCTTTGCAACCCGATACCACTTTCTTCAATCCACCTCTTTCGGGTATGCTCGCCTCATTCTCAAGTGGCAGTCACAACAAGCTAGGGGAGGCCAAGATAACTCTCGCAGAGACGATGGGATCGGGTTCCTTGGACGACTCCAGCGCCAAAAGGTTCGCATCTCGAGAAAACATATCCTTGAAAGCGCTGTGAAAGTTTTCGAACTCTATGGGTCGTCCTCTTCGGTGCTCGAGGTGGAGTACTTTGAGGAAGTGGGTACAGGTTTGGGACCGACGTTGGAGTTTTATGCACTGGTGTCGAAGGAATTCGCAAGAAAGGATTTGAAAATATGGAGGGACTCCGATCATGGTGCTCCTGGAGCCGACGCCAGTCCTTTCGTCCATCACCTGACTGGCTTGTATCCTGTCCCAATTGGGACGGAAGATATAGCTAATGATGGCGGACAGTGAGTGTTTATTCTTCTTCCTCACTATTGGTTTGAAGCTGATTGATGACACCTAGGAAACGTACACATATCTTCCGTGTTGTTGGGCAATTTGTAGCAAAGGCACTCTTGGACTCGCGGATCATCGACCTGTCGTTCAACAAAGTTTTCCTCAAGCTTGTGTTGGAAGAAGAGGTCCCGATGACTATTGCAACGCTCAAGGTCTGTGTTTATGTTTCAGCTTCTTTCGGACCCAGTTATGACCGAACTTTTTCTTCCATGTAGCTCGTTGATGCCGACCTGGCCAACTCCCTGACGAAACTTCTCAGTATCGCTGCCGCATCCGATAAGCAGCCGCCTTTGAACGACAAGGTACGTTCGACTTTCTCCTACATTTATGGCTCCCGTGGATTGACATTGTGAATATCTGCTTAGCTTGCGAAAAAGTTGGCCTTAATCGAAGAGTCTGTCACTGTCGAAGACCTTGCGCTTGATTTCACGCTTCCAGGGTATGATATCGAGTTAAAGGTGCGTACTTGCTAGGTCTTCATTTGAACATGAACATGAACATGAATATATTCTTTGCCAGCCCTCTGGAAAGGACATTGCTGTGACAACAGCCAACGTCCAAGAATACGTCCAACTCGTCCTCGACGCTATACTTGGATCGGGAAGTACTTTGCAAGCCAAGGCGTTCAGAGAGGGATTCAGCAAGGTTTTCCCGATTGGTGATCTCCAGGCTTTCACTGTAGAGGAGCTTGTGATGTTGTTTGGGAATGGAGATGAAGATTGGACGGTAGAGAGTGAGTTATTCTCTTGGTCAATGAATAAATTTCAGGATCTAACGTTCTTTCATCTATGCCAGCTCTCGGAGAAGCACTCAAAGCAGACCATGGGTTTAACCCCGAAAGCCGTGCCATCCGGGACCTCATGGAAATTCTGGCAGAGTACGATGCTAGTACGAGGAGGGACTTTTTACAATTCATCACCGGAAGTCCAAAGTTGCCTATTGGAGGTTGGTCTCTCACTATTTCCTCTCTTTGATTTTGAAACGACGTCGCTGACGATGCAACACACCAACCCAGGTTTCCGGGGCCTCAATCCTCAACTTACCGTTGTACGCAAGCCACACGAAGCACCGCTTACTGCAGACGATTATCTGCCCAGCGTGATGACGTGTGTGAATTACCTCAAGTTGCCGGAATATTCAAGCAAGGCGGTAATGAAGGAGAAATTGGGTGTGGCGATTAAAGAAGGGTTGGGTAGTTTCCATTTGTCGTGAAGAGTGAATGATGAATGTACGGCAATCTGGATATCTGGGGAAAGTTGTGGAAGAAAGAAGATGAAGATGAATTTTCAATTTCTTGAAGTGGGACGATACAAACGAGTGTTCGGAACTGTACAAGTAGATTCATGCGACAAAAGCACTTTTCCCCCTTTTTTTCTCTTATACTTGCTCTCCGCTTCTCTGTGTGTTTTTTCTTTCTTTCTTCTCTGCGCTGCCAGTTTTTCTTTGTCTTTGATCTGATAATTGTTTTTCACAGTCTCTCCAGTTAGACATTTATTTACAATAGCTAGTATATAAGCATATACATCCCCATACACAAATCACAAATCCATTTTTCCTCTTCTTATGTTCGTTCGAGGCAAGTTCTGTGAACAGAGAAGCATATGGGAAATGGAACCAACACATTCACACCAAAACAACGCAGTACATACGAGTATATGTTATTAATATCTTGTAAAATTCTCTCAGTTATTTTCAATAAAAACACATCTTCAAAACATGCAAGGTCTAACCAGGACTCGAACCTGGGTTACGGGAAATACCACAGAAATCAAAATCCCGTGTGATAACCTCTACACTATTAGACCATACAATTCCAGATTATTAATTACACTCACGACAGCAATTTTTTTGAGTTGTATTCCGATAATAACAATAGAATAATATAACATAACACAAAGCTCGAGTACACGAGTACGTGAAGTATGAAGTATGTACAATTATCGATTGTCTGTCGTCAAGAAGTGAAGAGATTGTCAAGCGAAAAAGTAAAAGAATAAAATATAGTCGTTATTCTGGGAGACGTGAAAGAGTGACTGATTCTTGAAGGGGAAGGCAGCATAGTCCTTTTGCACGGAGGCATGAGCAAGAAAGACATAGAAATTTCATCAAGAAGCCTATTTTTTTTTGCTTTATGACTTTCTTACCGTTTCCCCTGCGCTCCACTCCCACTTCCACCCGCGCCATCAGGAACCAAACTATCATAAGTCGGAGGGATCTCCTCTGGACCCTCTTCCTCCTCCCGTGGCATCTGATTCTCAACCCTTCCCCCATCCTGATGAACCAACACATCCCTCGGAGGCCTCGCTGCATTCAATGCAGCAGTAGATTTCTCTGAACGACGAGGCATAGAGGTCGGGTTGAACCCTCCAACGAAGGAAGAAGGACCTCCTCCTTCAGCATCGGGATTGGCTACGTTGAACCGGCCGTAGCCTGAATACCCTTGACCAGGTGCGCTGGTATTTGTATGTGTTGAAGTGGAGACAGTGCTTCCGGGTGCAGGTTGGTTTTGATTTTGGTAGGGATTGGGTAAGCGTTCGCCTGCACCGAAGCCATAAGGAGTGGTGCTAGTGGTTCCCGCGACTGAGGGAGCTGTTGGAGCCCGTCCTTGATCTCCATACGCAGCGGCATACACCGACGCAGGAAGGCCGCCCTGACTGCTCGATTGACCTTGACTTGACATGCCCTGACTGGACGAGGGATAATTAGTCGACGCATCCGTGTGTCGTGCGGACATTTCCGGAGGGCTTGGAGGAGAATGGTGTTGTTGTGAGTTTGTTGGATGATACAACGGATATGGAGCGACTACTCCTGCACCGAGTGTTGATCCAGCTAACCTTCCGCCCATTCCATCATCCTCCATGCCATTATCCACTCCATTTTCTACATGAGGTAAAGTAGGTCCCTGTCCTCTGAACGCTTTTGGCTCGCCTTTCATTGGCTTTGTGGTGACGATCCTATCAGGATCAAAATTACCATCAAAGGCGTCTAGAGACTTTTGCTTCCTTTGGGATCTTTTCCACCATAAGCCGACCAATACGAAGAGGAGAATTAGTGCGGCACCACCGCCTACTGCTCCACCCACTATCGCTCCTGTATGAGAATCCGATGAAGAATTGGAAGAGTCGGAGGAGCTGGAAGTCACTGTAGCCCCTGGAGGCAAGGTGGTAGAAGTTCGAACAACGGTGGTGAATACTTGCCCATCTGCAGAAGTGGATACGACGGTGGTTGTAATATCAGTCGTCAAGGATCCTGTTAGTGTAGAAGTCGAGGAAGTAGGAGTGGCAGATGAGCTTGGTGGAATGCTCGATGTTCCGGAATCCGAAGGAGAAGTTGATGAAGAGGAGGTATCGGTTGAACTTGATGTATTGGATGAAGTAGAGGTATTACTGGTATTACTGGTGGTACTGGTGGTAGAGGTGGTGGAGGTTGTGCTGCTGGAACTGGCGGAAGTATCAGAGGACGATGGGGATGAAGAGGAGGCGCTTGTGGCCGAGCTTGCAGATGCACTCGACATGGTGGTTAGAGTTTAAAGGAAAGTGTTGAACGGCTTGCTCAAGGCCGCCACGGGCTAAACATGCTGTATGAGTATAACAATGTATAATTTCCGGGGTGTGATGTGGTCTAATAGTGTAGAGGTTATCACACGGGATTTTGACGGTTATATTTCCCGTGACCCAGGTTCGAGTCCTGGTTAGACCTTGTCCAGGTGTCGAAACCACTCATAACTTATCTTTTTATCAAATGAATGCTGATATCTGCTATATAGTCATACACACGCAACTTATACTAACAAGGACAAGATTCGAGCTGTTCAGCATCTTTTCCCCGACTCGTCTCGCACATTTCAACAGCAAATGATGGTATGCAAGATCTACAAAGTACAGAAGGTTGTAGGTGTGTATGTGTTACGAATCTTCCGACTTGGCCTCTTCTTTCACACCGTATTTGGACGTATCTACGCCATGATGGGGGTGATTGACAAAGTTAAACCTGTAGCACAAAGTAGAGGTTCAGTCGTACGAAATGTGTAAAGGAACCAAAGAGGATCACACACATCGGGAAAACAGCTGCACGCCAGATTAATCGGTGGTAGAAGTAAGTCGTATGGTCAGTTAACCATGTGTAAACATATGGGTATGGACGTACAGAATTTGAGTTGTGAAAAGACAGAGTTTCGATGAGCAGCACCTTGTACCCAAGGAGACTGTGGCGACTCTCCATAGAGCGGTTTGCCTTCCTTCGCCCGTTGAGAAAGTTCAGCAAAATCCATTTCTTCCTCCCGCTTGTTCTCTGCCCAGCCATAAAAACGCACTAAAACGACGACGGGTTGGCGTCATAAGAAAGAAAGAAGAAGTGGGTCATTCGATGATACGCACTGCTAGAATTCTGATATGCCAACATAAATCCACCACAGAAACCAAGGAACGCTGCGACTTTCATACCCGTCACCATCCTTCTCGTCACAATCTGGATTGCGTTTCCGACTGCAATTCTGCCTGCAGGAAGCTTTTCACCTGGTGCAACAGTTATACGGTTGACCTTCAGTCCATTTGGGTCGGCCATTTCTAGATAGCATTTAACAAACGATGGTCAGAAGATTCTTCGAGTTAGTAGATTGGTGTTTACCCCAAGCTAGGAGCGCGCCCGGAACAGCGACAGTTGTTGCAGCCCAGGTAGCATAGTCGCTAGCTCTGAAGTATCGTACCACACGAGAGAAATGAGGATCAATGTCAAGGACAGGATACGGTGTCTCCAAAACCTTTTCAGGCATGACTGGAGGAGTGTTTCGAGAAGCAGTGTGACAAATGCGTTACACTGTCACTCCCAAACGCGTTGCTCAGGGCCGGTGTAAACCGGTTTACTTTGCGCCTTGTACTTAATTGTTGTTCTTGTTCTTTACTTTGCTCTGCATTCACTTTTGCTTCGAGCGAGCAACATACGATGAGCGGGCCCTCCCGTAATAATAGTCGGTCTGTCAATCGCGTGACGGACTCGTCGCCCTATGCACGCTCAGCACCCAAGAAATCGGTGAATAGATCGTCATTTTTCGTTTATTTTTTTGACTGAACTTTTCTTGTTCTATCAGTCAACGTCCTGGTCCATCTCAAATTTTCTGACTTATCTCAACCCTCTGGGCTTGACGTATCGGCATAGGGTGTCTAATAGCGCATATGAGAGAGACCATGCAGCCCGAGAAGCAGCAGCAGAATCGCTCTCTTCTAGAGGGCACCAGGTAAGTTGTCTACACAGTTTCCATGGCGAATGAATTCTCATAATTTTTTCAGATCTCTGAATCGAAGGAAAAACAGTCTTCAGCTCCTCTAGAATGTGCTCAACCTCTCCCCGCTTCAGCTAACACCTCTATATCGCCAACGAACGCCACCTTTGGACACGATATCAGCCCAGAGTCACCACAAAAAGGGTTGGATTATCTCTCAAAGTACCTTGGTGATCGTCCCAAGGACGAACCGCTCAGCTCAACAGAAGCCGAGGAACTCATCTCCCTCATCAAGAAAAGTACACCTGGTAAAGCAGTAACCCCTCATCTACATGTTCGCAAAAGAAGCTGACTCGTTAGCCTCGTTTTTTCCACCAGTTGAGGAACACGAGACTTTCCGATTCTCCAGCAGCAATCCGTCTACACCTCTCAGAGGAAACTCTCCTCTGTTCCCTTCAATCAGCACCAACTCGGTACCGTTCTCCTTCTCCCCTACGTACGTCAACGCGCCCTCTACTCCTTCTCCAAGCAAACCACTCCTGAAACAAAACCCCAACGGATCATACCGCTGGGACGGCGGTGGCAGCGCGAAACAGAAAAATGGTCGTTCACGGAACCGGTATCATTCTCCTGCGTTTGGTCCTTCGCCCAGGTCTTCTAGCCGTCTCATTTTACGAGAAAGCCCGGAGAAAGCTACCGAACCCATCAAGACCGACACGAAGAGACGACGGGTTGGGGAGGACACTTTGATGTCATCTTCTTCTCCTAGTGGCAATTCACCGCCTATTCGCTCGCCTGCTCCCGCACCTTCTCCGACTAGAGCCGCAGAGGCTTTGCGGATTCCAATTGCTCCCACCCCAAGTAGGATGTCGTCTTCTCAGAGCGCACCTCTTGCCAGCAACGGGAATGGGTTGAAAGCACCTTCCACTGTGTCTTCAAATGGATTAAGGTCATCAGCGTCGACGTCCCGTCTACGAGTCCCTGCGAAACCCACTACGCCAGTAGTTCCGTCACCTTTGCGTCAAGCATGGGGACAACCCTCCTCTCCTACACCTTCATCCAAATCATCAGATTCGACAACGACATCGCAGAGAGCAACAAAAGCAGCGAGTTATATGAATGAGTTGATCAAGGAAGTGACCCCGGTGAAGAATTTGGATGTAAGTAATCCGTATCAAGCTGCGAGTCCCGTGAAGATCGGACATGCAAAAGCTAAACCGAGGCCGACGAAGAGGGCTAGAGCTTCGGGTAGACCTTCTGCACCACCGGAGAGATTGACGGTTAACGGGAAGGCGGACGATGGGAAGGAGGAAGAAAAAGAGAAAGAAAAGAATCTTAAGGGAAAAGAAACGGACAAGGAAAAGTACTCTGCTCAGGATATCATTCAAGCTACGTTGCCTAAGGTCTGTGGACTCGGACTCCTAACTCGTCATCACATGGCACTTATCTCAATTTCTACTACGAACAGGGAAGCAAACGTTCTCGAGCACCAGCCAACATTGGTAAAGGACTTCCCAACGGACTTTCGGCTGCGCGTTCACCTTCCCCACCCAAACCCAGATCCCCATTTTCATTTATACCCCAAAT